CATTTACGTCCCTGGTAGTGCAACTGAAGCAAACAATCAACTATGGGTGGCAAGGCCCTGTCAAAAGATCTCCTGGATAAAGTTATTGACAGGCACAAGTCAGGAGTTGGATACAAAAAAAAATCTAAAGCTTTATCAATTCCTAGAAACACAGTGAAGTCTATTATTAAGAAGTGGAAGGTATTTGGTACAACACAGACCCTCCCTGGATCAGGATGTCAGTTTAAATTGGATGAAAGTGCCAGGAGGAAACTGGTCAGAGGCTACCAAGAGGCCTACAGGAACTCTGAACCAGTTGCAGGATTTTATGACAAAGAGTGGTCATTGTGTGCATGTGACAACAATATTACAAATTCTCCACAAATGTGGCTTGTATTGGAGGGCTACCAGAAACAAGTTGCTCCTTTAGAAAGGCCACATGAACTCACGGCTTAGCTTACCAAGATGTACGTTGACCTATGTGTCTGGTAAAAATCCAATACAGCTCACCATCCAAATAAAACCGTTCCTACAATAAAGCATGGTGGTGGCATTATCCTGTTATGGGGGTTTTTCTCTGCAGCAGGGACTGCAGCACTTGCCAGGATAAAGGAAAAATGGATGGGGGAAAAAAATATTTTCAAATTCTTGAGGAAAATCTGCTGCCCTCTGCCAGAAAGTTGTCAGTGGAAAGAAGGTTTACCTTCCAACATGACAATGACCCAAAGCACACGACAAAAATGACCACACAGTAGTTGAAGGAGAAAAAGGCGACTGTCCTTGCATGGCCTAGTAAGAACCCAGACTTAAACTCCATTGAGAATCTGTGGAATGGCTTGACGACTGCAGTCCAGAAACGGTCTATATCAATTTTAACTGAACTTGAGCAGTTTCTGCAAAGAAGAATGGGCAAATATTGCAAAGTCTAGATGTGCAAAGTTATTTGAGGCATATCCCAACAGACTAAAGGCTGTAATTAAAGCAAAAGGTGGTACAGCAAAATACTGAAAGGAGACAATCCTTTTTCCAATTCAGTGATTGTTTTTTAATTTTTTTGTTTTTTCTCTGACATTAAATCTTTCGCTTGGATGTTATACGTTGCACTGAGTAATTTTACAGTTGGATAAAGAAAAATCTCAGCATTTCAGGCTGAAAACCAACAAAAATATGATTATTTTAAAGGGGATTATTCTTTTCTATACCCCCTGTATATGCAATGCTCAAGTGTGTGTGTGTGTGTGTGTGTGTGTGTGTGTGTGTGCGCGCGCGCGCTGAGAGTTATATCTTTTGGTCACCTCTGATTAGTGATTTCCCATATCTGTGCAAAATTATCTTAAAGAATTAAAAAAAAAATCCACACTACTCACTAAGAGCAGACCTGATCTTGTCTTGCGCAGAACTTCACATTTCAACCCTCTCCATCATGCACCCTCATGGTGTGGAGAATTGTCAGGTGGACATTCTTAGCTGTCTAACAGCCAAATCTAGGAGAATGGGCTTTTTGTCCAAAGGTGTTCTTAGAGATTTTTCTGTGGTTGGGGGACACCGATGGATGCCCTGGTGACTCCTTAGCAACAGGTTGTTTTTTTTTCCTACACTGTGGCTTCTTCTTCACTTGTTGCGCAAGATGGTGGAGGGCATTCTGTTGATTCTGATCCAAGTTGAAGCCAGCAACCATAAAGCAGGATGGCAGTCTGGATCTTGCAAAAGCAAATCTGATTGATCTGAAAGAGCCCACGGCTCATCTGCCAAAAGTCTCATGATATCCATGTACCATGTTTTTGGCCAAGGAGGGAAGTAAAAATAAAAAACTAAAAAAATAATAATTTATATGGTCTGTGTCCACCTGAAGCTGGCAGCATAACTCAAGTAGTCATGAATATGAAGTACCCGTTTGTCTTGCAATGTACAAAAAAAAAAAAAAAAAAAAAAAAAAAAATTTTTTGGATAAACCAACAATCCTAATTTAATGGTACAAATGCAGTTAGCCAGTCACTCCAGATAGTAAGGTGCAATAGGAAATGGTTCTCTTGCAGGAAAAAAAAGGAAACGGCTTGGAGAAATAAAACCCAATTAATTTGGCTGTAGATGATTAGCTTTTAGGTACTTTGTAGTTGAAGTTGTCTGACAATTTATTGCACTTTTTTTTTTTATTTGTGCTGTATTGTTTGCACTCTGGAATCACTCCAACAGGATTGTGGGTGCAGATATAGGTTGCTGCGTTCTGAAAACATTTTATAGTAAACACCACTTGCATAAAACTAAAAATATAGTAAATCGGAGATGCAGCCTTGCTTAATGTTGTTCAACCTACCCACTGCTCCCAGTGGAACGGAGTCCTGTGTCCCTTTTTTTAAAGTGGTTGTTAACCTCAGAAATGAAATATGGACAAAGTATATCTCTATAGTGTGTACTCTGACAACTTTTCCTAACTCCAAGAGAAGAAAGGTGACAGCGAGGAACCTCCAGCAGATTGACAGCCTCAGCTCTGTTCCTGTGAGCAGTGTGAAGGGGGGGGGGGCTCTCTTCTCTCCAGTTAGCTCTCAGAGCTCTCCTCAGTAAGCCATTTCAGTGCTCTGCCCCGTGTTCTGAATTCTAAGGCAAGCTTTATAAATTCAGCATTCAATGGATGTAGAGAAGACTACAAGTAGACAGGTACAACTTTATGTAGGAAGATTTGTGTCATTTCTTTGTATCACCTGAAGCCAGGCACTTCACTGGGCATATGTAAGGGTTTACAATCACTTAATGAATGAGGAAAACACGATTTCTGTACTTGCTGTAAAGTCTTTTTTTTTTTCTGTTAAGTTCATTAAGGGATACAGGATTCAGTTCATCTGAGACAAGTAGGCTAGTTTTGCAATATGAAGCAGGGTGGAGGCATAAAACAAGACTCTAGCATGTAACTCCTGGACACCACATCACTTATCCAGGCATCTGAGATGCTTTGTGATCAGGTGCCCCCACTGAATTCTGTTTCTTAATGAACTTCAAGAAATGGTTTTTACTGTACAAGTACAAATGACCTGTTTTTTTGCAGCACACTGTTTATAGGCAATCACTGTCAAATAACCGTGATCACCAACTGGAATTCGGTGTGTTCACCTTTCAGTTTCTTTGCTGCAACTGTGGCTGTTTTGGTACCAAGTTTGTTGTGTGTATATTGTGCTCACTTAAGCGCTTATCCATAGATGCATGTGTATGTATGCAAGCAGTCCCTTTTGAGGATTAGATTCCCTTTTAGATAGGAATCATTTATTTGTATGCAGACTTGGAGATCCTGTCACCTTGCCTATTAGTGTCATTTTAAGCGTTATTAAAATTCAGCTGTTCTCATAGTAATATTGTCCCTTTTTGAGCAAACATTTTATTTAATAATAGGCACCAGAAAAATGAGAATAATCCAGAATTCCAGCTGAGTCAGATTTGTATCTTTTCTGGCTCCCTTCTGCTGCTCTTCCACATGCTGTGATGTTGGCAGTCTGACAGCCACTTCCACACAGAGCCTAATGCAGGCCATACATGGGTCGAATTCTGAACAAAGCAGAATTTTTTTGCGTTTCATTATCCTATGATACCACTATTGATTTCGAAATCCAACCAAGCCTTCAGATTCACCTTATGTTGCTACAGAAAATTATTATTATACAGGATTTATATAGCGCCAACGGTTTGCTCAGCGCTTTACATTATAGTTGGAGACAATACAGCAGCAATACAGTTCAATACAAGAGGGAATTGTGGGCCCTGCTCCTTGGAGCTTACAATCTAGGAGGGAGGGGTGAATGGTACAATAGGTAAAAACTGTGGGGGATGCAGTGGTTGGAAGAGTAGAGGATTCCAGTATTAGCAGAGGGCGTAAGTAGAGTAGGTGATAGTCTGATAGATTGGGGTAGGAGTTCCAGAGGATGGGTGACGCCCTAGAGAAGTCTTGGAGACGAGCATGGGAAAATAATTTTTCCTGGCTGGGAATCTTCTTTTCTTTCCATGTCACAGTTCATTCTCCTCTTTTTCGGTTACATTTCTCGCAGGATTCTCTCTTCATTGAAATTCGTTTGTTTTTCAAAAAATTTCCAAACTGCCCAATCACTCAAATTTGATGGCCGCATGAAAATCAGTTGATGCTGCAGTCCACTAATAGTGCGAAATTCAAACAAAAATTCTTAGTTATGATTTTCAAAAGAAATTTTGTTGGGATTCGACCCATGTATGACCTGCATTACAATATCTGACAGTGTTGAGCCGGTGTTGGGGATAGTGCTTGTACAGAGGGAATATCGCTAGTAAACTGTGCAGGTGAGATATTCTGTGCAGATAACTTACCAGCCATGTGATTGAATCTTGGCATTTCATTGGTAAAAGCCAACTAAGAGCTTGAGCTCACTATCTGCAATGACATGCATTTTTCTGCACTGTATAATTGCAGGTCATTACTAGGGCACATAGAAAACAACTTATTTCTAGGTGCCCTGTTCACACCATAATGCTTATGTTATGTTCAGTGTGAAAAAATACACCTTGTCTGTATTTTTCATCAGCACACTGGATGGCACCACATGTCACAGCACTGCAGTGCAATACAGTGTTCTGTTGTGCAATAAGATGAAGTGTCACTATGTGACATTTCAAATTTAACAAAGAAAAAAAGTGTGATTTGTTGAAACATGCATTGCACCACACTCAGCCAGAGCTCACGCTGACAACTGGCCACATGGTAAAACTCTGTTTTTGCAAACGGGCCACGGTTCCACCACCCCCCTCTCCCCCTTCCAATTCTATTAGTTTCTTCTGGTGTCTTTAGAGACTTTGCAGGTGTCACAGACATGGTGCTGCATCCCCCTTTAAGCCAAGAAATAATTGCATGGTTTGTAGAGTATGAGGGTAACAATAACCGTATGTGAGCAGCAAGTGGCAGTACATCACAGTACTTGGAACAGATCCTGTTTTCATAGAGAGTCCTTCACCAGGGAGGACCTGAACTGTTGTAAACTGTTTGTAAACTAGCAATCAGATCATTATATATGGTCCATTTTTCTTTCTCTCACAGGATTTTTATCATATGGGCTATCAGCAGTTGGTTTCGCAGAGGCTCATCACCCCAAGACCAAGCCACATCCACCGGGGCTCCCCGGCCTCCAAGCCGAAATCTTTTTCCTAAAGACACTTTAATGGTATGCGTGTTACATCCTGACCACTAGCACTGGCAAGGGTGCAGTGTAATAGGCTGAAAAAATAGCTTTACAATGTTGTTTTATAGTGGTGCACTGAAATGAAAATTCTGGTGCTGAAACCGATACAGAAAATTCAGAATGCATGTGGCCGAAAACCAAAACTGAAATGTCTGCACATGTAGGGGTGGGGAGGCTCCCATTTTTTTTTTTTTTTTTATACTTTCATGTAGATTTTTATTAATTTTTTTTAACTTATGAATTTATTGCTTTCACATAGGGGACCAATAGTCTCCTATGTAATAGCATATGAGTGACAGGTCCTCTTTGTAGGGGAGAGGGGGGGGGCAGTGTGTGCAAGGAGGGGGCAGCAGAGGAGCAGTGTATACAGTGAGGCTCCCACACTTGGCTGTCACTATATGTTGGTGCCGGTTTTTAAATTCAATCGCCGGCTTTTTTTTTTTTCTTCGCTATGAGCTGTCACTTTCCCCGGTGCTATAGGAAACTTTGTTTCTTTTATCTCGGGAAAGAAACTAAAAGGAAAAGAGACAGCTAATTCTGTAAGCTATAGTGAAGAAGAAAAAAAAGCCGTTAATTAAATTTAAAACCGGCACTGACATATAGTGACAGCCACTCACTGTATACACTGCTCCTCTCCTGCCTTTCTCACCCCCCCCCCCCCCCCCCCACATCTGCAGTACACACAGTCTCCTGTATCGGCACCTGTATTGGCTAAATTTTTCCTATTGGCAAAGTGCCAATAGGGCTATTTTCGGCCGATATTTTTCAGTGGCCGAAATTTCGGTGCATCCCTATTGTTTTAGTTTACCCATAGATTTAAAACTCAATTCCAGCCAGATATGAAATAAACACAGAGAAATGCAGTTATGTACTTATATATAAATAAAAAAAATAGGTATTTTTTAATGCCACCTGTATTTGACATGCTTTTAATCGCTTTTAATACCCAGAACCACAACACTGAGATTGGAGGAGGAAGGAGCAGTGCTTGGGGTCAGTTGGATGTTCTGCATTCATAGGTGCCAAAAAGAAACATGCAGGGAGATGATCTGATCAGTGTATTGCTATGCCCTAACTGTCCAATCACAGGCTGGTGGAATCAAGGTGACCCAGATGTGTTGCTTAATCCCAGCAAAAAAATTTAGGCCAATAGGCTGGGTATGCTGTGCGACTTGGCTGTATAAATCTTGGATGGACAGACTTGCAAATACTCCTATATGTGTATTTCAATGGTGTTTTAGTTGTTTAACAGACTTGCTTTGCTGTCAGAATTGCGAACCGAATTCGGATCACTTTTCAGACAGCGAAAAATAAATGGTGATACAACGCCTCCCTCATAGTCTCTTTTAACCCCCTAATTAGCAGAGAATCACATTGCAACCGAGCGCATTGTGCGTGGTCGTGGGGTGGTTGCTACAGTTTTGCTTTCATACAGCTTTCTTTTAAAGCTCCTTTGTTTCTTTTAACCACATGCCGCCCAGCCACTGTAGAAATACGGCGGCAGGGCAGCACGGCTGGGCAAAACCACGTTTTAAAACGTGTGTTTGCAAAACAGGTAGGGGGCGCGCGAGGCGCGCCACCGCCCTACCTGTCCCGCCGATCACGGCCGCGGATGTCAGTTGCTGGGTTACAGCCGTTCGTTACCGGCTGTGTCCCGCCGATTTGCGGCAATCACTGACAGAGCAGGGCTGCAGTAGCTCTGCTTTCTGTCACTCAGTTGCCTGTCAGCTCCTGACATGCTGAGCTGGAGAGAAGAGTTTATCTCTCCTGATTAGTGTGTCCCGTGCAGTACACACCCCCGCCCCCTAGTAAAACACTCCCCTCACACAGTTAACCCTTTCAGTAAATAAAAAAGTTAACCCCTTCCTCCCCAGTGCCATTAGTACAGTGTCAGTTTTTTTTTGTTTGTTTTCTGTTGCACTGATCACTGTATTGGTGTCACTGGGGATGTCAGTGACCCCAAGTCAGTTCCCTCCCAGTGTCAGAATGTCTGCCGCAGTCCTGCCATAAGTCGCTGATCGCCGCCATTATTAGTATAAAAAATTTTTTAAATCCCAGTATCTTTCCCGCCATTTGTAAACGCTATAACTTGCACGTAAACCAATTAATTTACACGTATTGGTTTTTTTTTTAGCAAAGACAGGTCGCAGAATGCATTTTGGCTGAAATTTATGCCGAAATTTGATTTTTAAATTTTTTTTACTGGACATGTTTTATAGCAAAAAGTCCACAATATTGTTTTTTTTTCTCAAAATTGTCAACCATTTTTTTTTTATAGCGCAAAAAATAAAAACCGTACAGGCAATCAAATACCACCAAAAGAAAGCTCTATTTGTGTGAAAAAAAGGAGATAAATTTCATTTATGTACCGTATTGCATGACCGCGCAATTGTCCGTTAAACTAGCAGCGCTGTATAGCAAAAAAATGGCGTAAATTGCAGTATCTATACCATAGTTTGTAGACGCTATAACTTTCACACAGAGCAATCAATATACACTTATTGGGATTTGTTTTTACCAAAAACATGTAGCAGAATACATTTTGGCCTAAATTTATAACCAAATTTGTGTTTACTATATAGTTTTTAGAACTGAAAGTAAAAATCTTGTTTTTCTTCAAAATTTTTGATCTTTTTTTGTTTATAGCGTGAAAAATAAAAAGCGCACAGGTGATCAAATACCACCGAAAGAAAGCTCTATTTGTGTGAAAAAAGGACGTAAATTTAATTTGGGTGCAGCATTGCATGACCGCGCAATTATCAGTTGAATTAGTGCAGTGCTGAGTAGCAAAAAGAGGCCTGGTCATTAAGGGGGGTAAATCCTCGGGAGGGGAAGTGGTTAATTGTTGTTTGATTCTTTATTACAGGACCTCCATGTGTTCTTGTCAGAGAAGGAACACTTCACAGAGTTTAACTCCACAGCTACTCTCTTCTGGGAGCAGAGGGACTTGGTGTACGGAGATTGGAGCAGTGGTGTGAATGGAGACGGCTGCTATGAGCAGTACTCAGATATCAGTATTCCAGAGGTGAGCTTCCTATAGATTGTTTAATGAGCTCTTGATCACTGGACTATCAGTCTATTGTATAAGTGTCAGATATCGGATGCAAGAATACTGAGAGATGGGTTCTTCTTGAAAATGCAGCGTCCATCCATTATTTCAATTTAAATGCTTTAAATATTAGGCTAGTTTATTTTTTGTTTATCAATGTTTTTAAAGAAGAACTCTGATGGTAAGTTTCCATCTAAACAAAGAACGTTGGCTATCTTGCTTAGGAGATCAGCTTATGTTATGCACAGATATTAAAGCGGAAAAGGGGTAGTTTTTCTTTAAGGACTCCCCCCCTCTAAACCAAGCAGCACTTTAATTGGGGGGGGGGGGGGGAGGAGCAGGTACCTGTCAAAACCAGGTGATCTTAGCAGAAGTTCTCCTCTCTCCCTCCCTCCCCACAGTCTTCTGGGACCTTTCACAGGTCTGAGAATACCGCAGCACCATTCACAATGCTCAATGTGGATCACGTATGTGCAGTGGGCACCCAGCTGTGAAGCCTCAAGCAGTCACAGCCAGGTGCCCACAGTTGAGATGCCTGGAACAGAAGACCGAGGGAAGGAACGGCTCGGGTGAGCAAATCGCTGGATTTTGGGACAGGTGAGTGTCTATTAAAAGTCAGCAGCTACTACAGCTGTAGCTGCTGACTTTTAACAAACACAAAAATGACTGGAGCTCCTCTTTAAGGTAAATTTACTAGGGTACACATGCCATGAATAAAGGTAAAAATGCTGCCATTGCTTCTGCTGGCAATGCTAGCTGACTGGCTATCATGCAGTCCCACAGCCTTTATTAATTTGAGTCGTGCAACAAGTGTGCAGGTCAAGAAAGTCATAGTGAATCAGAAGCCCTCATCTGTGTACTTGCTCTAGGGCAGCGACTCCCAAGTATGGAAATGACAGGGTTAATAGGACACTGGCAATTGGCGTTGTTGTTGTTGTTGTTATGATTATTATGTTAATGTGGTAGTATTTTGTTTAGCAGATGGTGACATAAACATTTATACAGTGCTAAATGTTTAATATGGTGAGATTCTGCTTCTTTGTCTGTCTTAGGGAGTACAGAATAATGGCACCTATTATATTCACGTATATCTGACAAAGAGTGGCTTCCACCCAGACCCCAGCCGGAAGGCCCTTTATCGGAGGCTGGCCACTGTCCATACATCTCGCAGTAAGATTATTATTTTCATATTCTCTTTTTGTTTCTCAATTTGCATTTTTTTTGTTTTTCCTCTCATTTTGATTAGGTATTTACTGAAGATTTATTAAGCCGCATACTAAATGCTTTTCTGGCATTTGGGAAGCGGTAAGTAAGCTGTTAGAGAACAGTCACTCAGAAAATGGGGAAAATATATTACCATGCATACCTTTAGAGGAACATTAAAAATGAACAACATTGCAATGTACTAAGATAAGAGCATACCTGTGTAATAATGCAAGATCATGCACTACTATGCATTGTTGGGCACTGCATTAACAATTTTGGTGCATTTCTGAATCTTGGCTTGTTGTGGTTCATTGACAGTGCATTTTAATGAAAAGGCTGGCTTAATGCAACACACATTAATAGATTGGTTTGGTGCTAATGGGTCCTTTTTTAAACTGCCTATCTCCTGTTACCTCTTCCTGTTTTAAAAGTGTTGGGTAGCAGGTAGTAGGTAGCATAGTTTATATGTGGTGATAGCCATGGATTTTCAAATTTTGCATCTGAGTGACTGCCTGAAAACCAGATTACTTACTGTCCCATTCATTCACAATTCAAACCTGCACAGTGAGCTTTTGGCAAGCTTTTAAGCTGCGTGTTTTCTACTTGCCATTACAGTCTGAGAGTTTCTAGATTTAAGGTACCTACAGATATGAGATGGGGTTTATGATCCAACCAAATATGAAACTTTAATGTATCTTTTCCCTAGTGCTCCTCTGTTAGCGGATGAATGGATTTGAAAGGGTGATTTCTGCTTTTCCTTCTCTGTAGGCACTAACATGCATGTTCCCCAATGGGAAGTTAACATGTTTGTAAAGCAGTCAAAAACAAACAGTGCTTGTTTAGTGGCCAGACCTGCCTGCCATGTCCTGTTTTAATGAACATTTAGGCTTCTTGCACATGAGTGAAAAAAATGCTGTGTTTGTAGCCATGTAGCTTTTTTTTTAATTTATTTATGGCTCTGATCACAGGTACATTGTTGACTGTGGGAACATTGTAAGAATCTGTAATTCAGCATTGTGCCAAGAGCTGTAAAAGAGAAAACTTTTTAGAAAAGTTGCAGAAATGTGAATGAATATGCAAGTATATACAAGAATATACACGAGTAGCTAAAAGAGGATAAAGAAAGTGCTTGTATGTTCTATTTAATCTATTTTTTTATTTCTCTATTGGTTGGTGGACTTTCTTTTTCTTCTTTTTTTTTGTTTTTTTTTCACTCTTGACTATGTAATTATACGCATACACATGTTTTATGCGCCTGTACACATGTATACAAAGGTCTTTGTTACAAAACTTGCATGGGTTTTTTTTTTTTTTTCTTCAGGATTTTTCAGATCTGTGTTTGAACATTTTTTTTTTTTTTCAAAATCAAACATTATTTAAACAACATTTTTATACAGTAACAACATTGAGACAAACCGCCATACAGAACAAAAGACACAGCCAAGAAAAGAACATATCAATAATACATAATATTTAAACTAGAGTGAAAAGATTACATACCCTCACAAAAAAAAAGCATAACAGGACTTTACAAAAGGAAAACATGTTCCGTCTATTGGGACCATATAGCATTATATTTATGCATAGAATTTCTCAAATAAGTATGTTTTTTCATAAGAAATATATCTATTTAGATCCATTATTCAGTCAGAGCTGGTGGGCTAGGGGAGATCTATGCAAGTGTAATCTGCCTACGAGCTATAAATAAAGCCTTAGAAATGGTAAAGACCAAATTATGGTCCATAGAGCAAAAGTCAGTGTGGCTTAGCAGGCATGTAAGAGATTCCACTAGGATATTAGTCCCCAATAAGCCATTTAAAGTACCTACCACCTCAGCCCAATATCTGTTCAACTTGGGATATCGCCACATAAGGTGGTTAAGGGATGCTGAAGAATGACTGCACCTTTTACAATACGAGTTATCTCTCTCCCCAATTGTATTTAAAAATATAGATGTTCTATACACTGTGCAGAGTATATAAACATTGGTAATTTATGTCCATGAGCAATAGGCTTTAGTCTGTCTGATTCTTCTTTTTTATCTTCTTGTCTTTCTCTTTTCACCTTTTCTCTTAGGCTTCATGTACATGGTTCTACAGAGGGGCTGTGCAGTGTTCAAAGCCTGCGTACTCACCCTCCTGGGCCACGCTAGCATCATATACAGCCACCCATTGAGATAAATTAGATGATGCGGCTGTACAGTGACATCAGGTCCCAGTAGTGTGGTTACGCAGACTCTGGAAGACTGTGTGCAATGAAGCCTTAGGCTTTTTCCTTGCTTCACCTCCTCCTTCCCTTTTAATTTCAATCTTAATGTCCCTGTCTCTCTTATCTTCCCCTTGTAACCCACCGTGTTTTTTTGTTGGCCATTCCCTTATTACATTGTAACACTTGGCTCTTTTGCAGTGCTTAATAAATACAAGCGCAAACGGTTCCTCAAGACCAAAAATCTTCTGACTGGGGAGACGGAGGTTGATCCAGAGATAATCAAGGTGTGATTCACAGATTCATTTGTCACTCTGTGCTTTTTAGTATTTGTAATGTGTATAACAAGCTCTCCTATTTCAGAGGGCTGAAGATTTTGGACCAATTGAAATAATTTCTCACTGGCATCCGAATATAACAATAAATATTGTTGATGATCACACTCCATGGGTACAAGGAAGTGTACCGCCACCTCTAGACCAATGTAAGTATGGGCCGGTGTTGATATTACTTGTGTGTCTGTACATTTCAATATCCATGAAAGTAACTGTGGTATATATTTTCCCAGATTTTAATATTGGCACTGCTCTGCAATACTTCTATTTGATCATTCAGTATAGTCTCTGACCAAGACTGTCCATTAAAGCTGCAGTCTAGGGCTATTTTCTGTAAATTCATTTAACATGCTAGTTATTTTTATTTCTGTGGAGAAAGGTAAGCCCTGCGGAAAAAAAATAGAAAACATACTATACACACTATTATGATGTTGTCCCTTGCTAGTTTTAAGCCAACTGCTAACAATTGCCTGATCTCATATTTCTACCTCTCCTTTATATCTACATTTGATGAAAAAAATGGTTTGTGTTGTCTATGTAAACCAGCTTTCAATTTTGCAAAAGAAAAATATAGACTAGGGATGCACCGAAAAAATAGCGGAAAATAGCCCAATAGTAAAATTTTAGCCGACTCAGGAGACTGTGTGTACTGCAGATGTGAAGGGGGGGGGGGGGCAGCTGAGAAAGGCAGGAGAGGAGCAGTGAGTGTATACAGTGACTGGCTGTCAGTATATGTCAATGCCAGTTTTTAAATGCAATTACTGGCTTTTTTTTTTTTCTTTCCTTTACTATCGCTCACATCTGTCACTTTCCCCCCAGCTAATAGAAACAAAGTTTCCTTTAGCTCCCGGGAAAGTGACAGCTAATTCTGTGAGCTATAGTGAAGAAAAAAAAAAGCCGTCAATTGCATTTAAAGATCGGCACTGATATATAGTGACAGTCAGTGAGGGAGCCTCTCTGTATACACTGCTCCCTCACTGTATACACTGCTCCTCTCCTATCCCCTCCTTGCACACACTGCCCACCACCCCTCCCCCTACAAAGAGGACCTGTCACTCATATGCTATCACATAGGGGACTATTGGTCCCCCACGTGATGGCAATAAAATCAAAAGTTTAAAATATATATATAATATACATGAAAGTAGAAAAAAAAAATTTAAAATTGGAGCATCCCCACCCCCACGTACGACATTTTGGTTTTCGGCCACATGCATTCTGAATTTTCGGTATCGGTTTCAGCACCACGATTTTCATTTCGGTCCACCACTAATATAGACTATCTCAGACCAATTCCAGCTAGGATACACTGATAAACGAAGCCTAACATCTCAACCTTTATCTACAGCTACATTTATAACAGTGGTGGTTGTTTTAAGAGGGCCATGAACAGTTTGACTTTCACTAACTGCGCTCATAATTCAAGCGTTGGTTGTGATGTTTGAGCTATTTATCTCCACACAATGTTAACCATAAGTGCCTCACATTATTGGTTGAAGAAAAAAAAGGCTCAATCTTCCTCTGTTCTACGATGGAGAGTGAAGGATCCAGTAGTGTTTGTGTGCTGCTGTCACACTTCCCCATTGATCATACCCTAGCAGATAGTTTGATTACAAGCATATATCTCATCACTCATCATTCTTAGGGAGCTATTTGTCTGTAGGTACCCATTTCCTTAAGAATGATGGATGAGTAGATAACTGTCACAGTACTAGTCTTTGGATCACTGGGGTCTACAAATGATGACAGTAATGCATGCTTTGTATTTTGATTCTTCACTCTTCTACCTGGAAAAATAAGGGTCCTTTCACACAGGCTTCCTGTTTGTTTCATCAGTTCAGTCATGTTTTTTCAAAGAAAACGGATCAGTTTTTCATCCGTTTTTTACATCCACTATCAATGCAAAAACAGACCGTTTGTCCGTTTTTACATTCATATGTCATCCTTTCCATCTTTTAATGGAACATAAATAGTGCTTTGATCCATTCCAAAAAAATTATAATTATCCATTTACATCTGTTTTTACATAGAGATTCATGTCCATTTGTCATGTTTACATGGATTCATTTATGTCTGTTTTTCATCCATCAGCGGATGAATGAAAAATGACAAGTGGAACGCCCATGTGAAAGGGGCCTTACATTTTCTTCTAGGAAGTCAAATAGCCTAATTCCAGCAAATAAGGAGTATTGTTGTACTGTTTATGATATTCACTGAAGTGGACTTGTTGCAATAGCAACAAATTAGATTAGTGTTTTCATTTCTGTGGTGTGGACTGGACGATTCAAGCCATGATAGATCTTGTTCAGTTACCATTCTGTCATTGATAATTCTATCTTCTACTCATTAGATGTGAAGTTTGATGCCGTGAGTGGTGACTACTACCCTATTTTGTACTTTAACGATTACTGGAATCTGCAGAAAGATTACAGCCCAGTAAATTCTAGCGTGACCACACTACCATTACGGGTTTCATTCTGTCCCCTGTCCTTGTGGAGGTGGCAACTCTATGCATCTCAGAACTCTCGCAGTCCCTGGAACTTTCTGGGAGAAGACCTGTATGAGCAGTCTGATGAAGAGCAGGACTCTATTAAGGTGGGTTCCAAATGAAGAGGAGCAGTTTGTGTTACTCAATCCGCAAAATATGGCTGGGGATAGGAACCGGGAAGCCTCTAAAGTAATAAAGGGATTTCGGCAAGTATGCCATGTGGAGGGCTTGGATTATGCCAAACTAGTGATTGTGATTTTGAAGTGTATGTCCAGCCAAAACATTTTTTTTTTTTTAATTTGAATTAAGTATTAACAATTAGAGCCCCTGTCAGGTTTTTGCTGCTTTCTGGTGTTCTGCTACAGAGATTTCACCTCACTTTCTGTCCTTCTGATAAGTTTTTACCAGACAGGAAGTGACAGAAAATCACCAACAAAATCAAAATAAAAGGGCTAGTAGAGGTATGGGGTAGCTAGAAGCCATATCAAATTTTTCTTTTGTCTGTGTCCCTGTTGCAGATTTTCACTCCTGTTTGGTGAAATCAGCAGGACAGAAAGTAAGTGGAAATCCCAGAGCAGTAAAAACCTGACAGGAGTTCCAATCCTTCCCTATTGTGTCCAAAAATGTCTTGATATACACTTTAACATTAAGGGATTAATTTACTAAAACTGTAGCGTGCAAAATCTGGTGCAGCTGTGCATGGTAGCCAATCGGCTTCAAAATTCAACTTGTTGAATTAAGGTTTGACAAAAATAAATGGAATCTGATTGGTTTCTGTGCAGAGCTGCACCAGATTTTGCACTCTCCAGTTTTATTAAATCAAACCAAAGTATATCTAAATCAAGACAAGTTAGCAGGAGAGCTGTAAGCTTAGTCGGGACAGTATTGGGGATCAAGCCTGTGGTTAGAAATTGCCAAAGAGCAACAGTGCTGGGTATTGGCTTTGCAATTTACTCAGTGGCTCTCCAGCATTTTTCAGCATCATTTTTCTGGAGTACAAGTTCTTGGGGCTTTGTAAACTCTAAGCCTTTTCACCTGTCCAGCCATGACAAGCCATTGGAGTCCCGGTCAACTGCTCTCTTCAAAACACAGGTCAGGTCTAAAAAAAAAAAAAAAAAAAAAAAAAAAAGTCTTCAAGTGGGTTTTAAAGCGGAACTTTACCCTATAAGACAATATCAAGTTTAACTGTTTTTGTGTCTCCCTAGCAGTAGTGTTTGTCATGTTACCTAACCTGATTTTATTTTCTCCCTCTCTAATTGTTTCCTCAGCACAGTCTGTGTTATTCCTGTTGTTTTCTTACCCCTTCAACAATAGTAAATCTTAAAGCTGTCAGCTGATCAGCCTCTAGTAACTCCCGTATTTTAGGAAGTGCTGAGCACATAGAGCAGTTGAGCATGTGCAGAGCTGGGTTACTGGATTTTAAACAGTATAGGCACTTATTTTTAATGTTTGCAATAGCGGGCAGCCTGAAGTGATCTATCAGGACTTAATTTTTATGACTAAATTTGCACTTTAAGTAGTATGTAGTTTTTCTGACAGTCACTGTTATTGAAAACTATTGTTTATCTTTCAAGGTGGCTCTTCTAGAGACAAACCCATATCTCCTTGCTCTCACCATAACCGTTTCCATTGTACATAGCATCTTTGAGTTTTTGGCTTTTAAAAATGGTAAGTTTTTTTTAACCTTTTTTAAAATTAATGAAATTAATTTAATCAGCAATATTCTTTTTAATGTCATCATGTCTCGTTTGTCATCTTTTAGATATCCAGTTTTGGAACAGTCGGCAGTCTTTGGAGGGTTTGTCTGTTCGATCTGTCATCTTTGGTGTCTTTCAGTCTCTAGTTGTTTTGCTTTACATCTTGGACAATGAGACCAACTTTGTGGTGCAGGTCAGCGTTGGCATTGGTCTGCTTATTGATTTCTGGAAGATCACCAAAGTCATGGATGTCAAGGTAAGGGTTAATCATAGCTGAGATAAATGCTGTGAAGATCAAGATGTGGATCTTTCACTTATGAGTTTGTGCATTCTTCATCTCCTTAACCTCTTGACATCGAGCTCACACAAACATGCAGCCTCACTGCACTGAACTTTATTTGGGTTGTTCTTTTGTGGGAGGTTATGGCAGTAACGAGAAATATACAGCTAAATTTAAAAAGTTGTTTTTTGTTTTTTTTTTAACCAGTTTTTCTTTAATAATAAAAAAAGTCTCAAGATATCACTGTTGGTGATAATGGTAAACATGACTATTATAGAGGGTGGATCACCCTAACGGTCACAGACAGCAATAAAAACCTGTCAGGTATTCTAGTCCCTCACTACCCTATCCAAAAACTAGTCTGGCAGGGTTTGAAGTGGGGGGGGAGATTTTTTGGGGGGCTGCTTCTACAAGAGCAGATCCATACCCTTGGAACATGTGCAGAGTGACCAAAAACATACTTTTTTAAATTTCTCCTCTTTACGTCGCAGAGCAGCTGTAATATTTTGTGTGTGTGTGTTTCTGTTTTCACATTACCAGTATATCTGGCCAGATAAAAATATGATAGAAAACACCTGCTGCAATTCCCAGAGGTGGTGAGCAGTCAGTGCACTAGCTAGTAGTGTCCTCCTAGCACACGAGCAAACATGCAGATAAAAGGAAGCCGGCAGCTCAATCTTCCGCAGTGAATAGATTTATTAATCCAGATTTGATACAGAATAATGTTACAGGGCTTACGCGTTTCGGAGTGTAGCCTTAGTCATAGCTATGACTACGGTTACATGCCAAAACGCATAAGCCCTGTATTATTATTTTGTGCCTTTTTACCTCTGAGTAACGGACCCCATATTTCCTCAGTACAGGTAACCTTTATTTAACTGCATTCAAAGCAACCAGTCTCCTCCTGCCACTCCAGGACAGGTCAGGGCACGTTCACCAGCACATACAGTGAAACTGGGTATTGCCACATGTAGACAGTGGTGAGATGTGAATTTCAAAATTCAGTGGCTGACTGACAGGTGTGTGCACATTCAGATCATCTAAGCATGCTCATGGCAAGGAGCTGGCCTATACTTAAGCCATAGTGGTTGACCAAAGGTACCCAACATGATTTAGGGTTATCTCCCAAACTGTGTGCATGCAGAGAAATCTGCCTTAGTCATGAATGTTGTCAGACTTGCCTGATTATCCAATGCCTATGGGTGTTGAAATATCCCATAGTGCTGGCAGTAGGGAGAGGAGTATAGTTGCTATCAACCTTTACATTTTTGGGGGTGTGGCTACAACACTTTGCAACGCAAAGCCTGTTTAGAGCTTCACTGATAATGACTGCTGAAAAGAAGTGCTTGATTTAAATAGCCGAAATTCTGTATGAAGCGGCCTTGACCTATATAACTGTATTGAATTTGAAGATGCAAGCTGCAGGTCATTTACTTGACAACTGACTTTCTGTGTAAAATTAAATGAAGTCTAAAGGAAATGTGTTCCAAATTAAAGATTTAATAATGAAATCTTAAAGTATTAGATTTTGTATTCTTTAGTTTAAACATGTACCCCACTTTGTTTCTCACAGCTGGACAGAGAACGGAAGGTGGCTGGAATCTTCCCCAGGGTGATACTGAAGGACAAGTCCACATATGTAGAATCCTCTACAAAAATATATGACGACGTAAGTGTGTTCTCCTTTTAAAGAGTTTTGCTATTGCAAATTGGGATGGCAATATTTGATTAGACCCTCAGTCAGAAATCTTAAAAACAGTGGTGACCTGAACCATTCCGATGCTGTAAAAGGCTAATTTTATTGTGGAAGGTGAGATAACTTCACCATTAGTGATGTATTTATCAAGCCTGAAGGCAGAAGCGCTGCTGTTTGGCTTAAGCTATCGCCCAACCCTCCAACATGCAGGACAATGTAAATTCTAGATGGAAGCTTGGTTACAGAGACATTAGAGTGTTCTACTTTAAGCAAACATGTCATGGTGAATTTGATTAATTTACAGTTAAGAAGAGCATCCCTTTAAATTGAACTTATTCACTTCTACTAACTAAATATGTTGCTTTAGAGCAGACTCTTAAAATACATGTTATTCCTTTTCATTGCTAGCAAGTTCTACACTGTGCCATCTTGGATTACCTACACTTTCATATATTTTCTGGAATTTTGGTATAAGTCCTGCCCACATGTTTGAACCCCTGTCCATTCAGAATGCCTTGCTAGCCAGTAGGACTTTCTTATTGAATAGAAAGTAGTGCATAAACTGAGCCTAACAGTACAGGGTGTGTGGAGCTTGTGCCACAAACTGTTCCCCTCATAGCAAAGTGAAAGTTATCTGAGACTGGGCTGTAAAAGAGGCGTTCTTGGATAAAAACGGCAATAGCAAGCAGGCTGATAGACAGCGCTTCTATTTTTTACATAGAGTGGAGAACAGATTCCTTTAAGTACAATGAAAGGTCTGACATTAGACACTTTCCAGAACAAATACCTATACAAAAAGCTTACAGAATTATTCCTATGATAGCCTATCCTCCTATATGGTATGGTTTTCCCCAGCATAGTTTTATCTGCATCCTTGCACTCCCTTTTTGCTGCCTAAAATGTAATTACATTTTTGTACCGCAAAATAAATTGTAAATACTTCCCTTCCTGTTATGTTTTATTTAGATATATAGGTATTGTTTTAACATTATTTAAGTCCCTGGAATTTTCTTTGATTTGGGGTTATGGTTGCCTATGAAGTGAAAAAAGTTGTGAGCTACACTGTGGATGACGTTTCATTTGCTGGAGTGGTAAACTGAAATTGTACATAACTGAAACTGGATTAGTAAGCATATGACACAGTTTCTAGTCGATGCTTAGTGTCCAGTGGTCTCTGAGCTTAGAACATGCTGCATTTTCTTTTACTCCAAATATAATCGCATTATTTGTTCTGTGTCTAGATGGCATTCCGGTACCTGTCCTGGATCCTCTTCCCACTGCTGGGATGCTATGCAGTATACAGTCTCCTGTACCTAGAGCACAAGGGATGGTATTCCTGGGTACTTAGTATGCTGTATGGCTTCCTCCTCACATTTGGTAAGCTGAAAACAACATAATGTGATATAGTCTGTGGCCATATTAGTATTACATTTCTAAAGCTTGAAACACACTTAAAGCCTGAAGAACAAAGTGACAATCTATTCCACTGCACTAGCGTGAAAAATGCAGCTCTCATCGATACTCTTCTGTCTCTGGCAATGTCTTTCACAGACTTGCTGCTGTGCAATCCAACACAGTCCAGTTTCTTGACTGAATGATACCCAGCATCATTCAACACTCTTCCTGGGAGCTCAGAGTATCAAACAACACTCGCTGGGGGACACCGTCAAGTTACCTGGGCTAACAGGAGAATGCTGTCAGAGTGATACAACAATGTCAAAAAATGCAGCGCTCTTAATATTGTGAGATGGTGACATATAATGCGCAATCTTATGCGCTAATAGGTGAACATATAAGTGGTGTCTTTAATGAAGACAATAATTGGTAAAATGTGACATCATCTCATAGTGACAGAACAATCAGCGACCAATTCAGTATATATAAAAGTCCTTGAAATATTCAAGTAAGATGCGCCAATTTTCCCGGGAACTTGCGTCAATGGTAGTATGTGCTCGTGACTTCAGTGATATGAAGAAATAGGGGTGTGCTTGCACTCACCAGATGTATGATAATATTACGCATGTAATATAAGGGCACTGGTAGTCATCTGGGACCCAGTAGGCAAATGGCACTCCAATGGTACTTGTTACAACCTGGGAAAGACCACCAAACCTCTCGGTAGACCCTCTTAGTGGATGGGGACTCCTCGCTGTTGTTAGTACTCGGTAGTCAATGGACTCAGCAGGAACACCACCTTTAGTAGCTCAGAGTAAAGCCACCAAGACAAAGGGCTAATATAGTGTATCAATTTTTATTATGCCAATGATTGTACACAAATTAGGGCTACTTATGGCTACTGACTTGAATCTTACTTGAATATTTCAAGGACTTATATATATCGAATTGGTCGCTGATTGTTATGTCACTATGAGACGATGTCACATTTTACCAATTGTCTTCATTAAAGACACCACTTATATGTTCACCTATTAGCGCATAGGATTGCGCATTATATGTCACTATCTCACTATATTAAGAGCGCTGCATTTTTTGATATTTATGTTTAGGATTTCAGGGGTTAATCTTATGCAAGCTGCTTTTTGGTACCATATTCTGAAGCGCTCGCTTTATCACTTTTTATTATTAGAGTGGTACAACAGATTTAGGCTTTTTTCTGCCTTAATATGATGCTTCCAGGTACAACTCAAAAATCCTTACCTCTGACATTCCTATACCAGGCATTCATTTTCCTTCAATACAATCAGATTTTTAAAGCGGTATTAAACTCCAAACCAAAAATGTAATGTGTTGCGACTTACTGATCCTTGGATGTAATGGCTGTATTAGTTTTCTTTATTTTTGGCTTTTTTCCTTCAGCTTTTTCCTGGTGATCTGGCTGGTAACACACCTCCTGTATTAGTGCCCCCACTCTGGATGAACAAGCACAGGGGACACCTTTTGGACAGCAGATTTCAGTCTAGGGGAGGGGAGCATTAGATATACTAGCAGATATAGATACACTAATAAATTAAAGCCAAACTCCAGCTAATACTTTTTTTTTTCTCTTAACTATTCTTTATTGAATACGTTTTATAAAACATCCGTACATTCCACAATTAACATTTACATATTTCACTTCTATCTTCACAGAATAATGTACTACTCTTCTCTCAGATTTCAAAGATTAATTTTAAACTTTCTTTTGGGTGTTCTTTTTTCTCTTTCCTTCTCATCTTGGCTACTGCCTGGCCTCTCCCAGATCTCCAACAGTTGATCCTACCCTAGTTAACTATGGTTTCCATATTCTCTGAAATTTCTTTATACATCCCCGTTTAATAAATACCAGTCTTTCTTTCCTTATTGTTCTTTCCACAGTCCTCACCCTCTCCTTACATGAAGGTGGCACCGCTACAAGCCACCTCTGCACAATCAATTTACGTGCCTGAAACAAACACTGAATTACTGTCTTCTGTACCCCAGTCACTACCTTATCCTTATCCACATAGCCCGATATACATAACATTGGGTCTAACCTAGAGGATATCCCATATACAGATTTTATAGTATCGAGAACCTCACCCCAATACCTATATAACTTTGGACATCTCCATACCATGTGAATAAGGTCTCCCCTTAGATCTCCACATAGTGGGCATCTGGCATCTTGTCTCCACCCAAACAAAAACCGTTTCTGAGGGGTACGATATACTCTATGCAGCAGAAAGAGGTGAGGGAGAAAAAGATACCATCGGCCACAATTCCAGTATACATTTGAGGGAGAAAGATACCATCGGCCCCGATTCCAGTATACATCTCCACTGTTCCTCTATGATGTTTCCTACATCCTCCTGGGAAAAAGGTTTTACATACAGTAAATAAATAAAAGCCAATGTTTGTAAGTACCCCCTACCCCTAATTTTAAAAGCTAGTGTAACTGATGCATTCTGCTGGAGAGTTTGTTCTTTTGCAAAACAGACTTACTGGTCGGATCACCAGATGAAAACAGAAGAGAGCCTAAAAAAGAAAACTTATGCAGCCATCACATGTAAGAATTGGTAGGCTGCCATATGATTAATACCACTTTAAGTGGTCATATACACAATTATGATTTCATTACCTTCCTTTAAATCATTGTTCATTATTTAATGACAAAATGCGAAACACACATTGCACTAACATCTCTGATTTTAAGATTACACTGCACACATTAAAAATTTTTTATGAAACTTTACACCACATCTCATACTTTCTTTGCATTAACCCACAATTATATTGTATAGAAAAAAAAAAAGCTAGCCATAGGGCTTAAGCAGTTTTATACTGTGCTTTGTCAGGCATAGATTGAGTCAACTATTTTAAAAAAAAAAAAGCAATGGCCTTAAAGCTGTAACATCAAATGGCAGGGTACAGGTCAATAGGTTTTTGTGAGGCTGCTGACTGGAGCAGTGGCTGCAGCTATGGGAACATGTTACATGTTCCTCCCTAAGAACAGGTGGACCATGTAACCTGTTCCAAAGGTGAACTTCTCCTTTAAGGCATAATGTGTGAAACATGCAACTCTTCATGTCCTGTTTTCACATCTGGGTATCCAGAGTTGTTAACTTTTAGCTCAGATACTGCCTTCAAATACAAAGCTATTTGTTTTGCTTAAGCCAGTCATAGATTGATTGAAATACGGCCAGGTAAACAGGAACCAGCCAAATTTTGATCCTTCTATAGGCAGGCTGGCTGTACTTAAGTTGATCTATCGATTGACTTCAGTACAACCAGCCTATCAGGTTTTGTTCTTCTTATTTTCACTTCTGCTAGCTATAGCTTGTAGCAGAGATTATTGTATTCTGGTAGCAAAGAAATTCCCCCTCTCAGAATATAGTAGCGCATTGGGAGGGATTCCCCCATCAACACTTACTGGGAATCAATCTATTTTCTTTCCTTCAACCTGTGATTAATTGCTTAATGTATGGCCAGCCTTGAAGATAAAAAATTCCTAACCCAGAGGAGATTGAATAACCTAATATTATCTGTGTTACAGGGTTTATCACAATGACTCCACAGTTGTTTATTAACTACAAGCTGAAGTCAGTAGCCCACCTCCCATGGAGGATGTTAACATACAAAGCTCTGAATACCTTCATTGATGATCTCTTTGCTTTCGTCATCAAGATGCCTATGATGTACAGGATTGGGTGTCTGAGAGATGGTAAGGTTTTTCTGAAATATTTACAGCCTTATACAAAAAATCTTTAATCGATTCCTATATATGTAGCACATGTAATTCATAGTGAGCTCCAGTTTTTATCATGTCACAATTAAATTACACGTTTTTTATCTTTATTTTTTTCAGTAATGCAGACAAGCTACATAAAACTGTAATAAACTTTCCCCTTGTTTTCCTTTATTTGCTAAGTGTTGAGCAAAGGTTTATTAAAGAAACAACCCTATGCTGCAGCTTGTAGGGAGAGTTTTCAAAGGATAACTAAAGGCAAAACTTTTTTTTTTTTTTGTTTTAAATAGTGAAGAGGGATTAGAACACCTTTCAGTTTCTATTGCAGTCTGTGCCCCCGTTATGGAGATCGTCCCTTTCTATTTATCCTTTTTACCATTATCATTGAAAATGAAAGTAAAAAAAAATACCACATTTTGGCTTGTCCCCAGAAAAGTAATAGCAGAGAAATGTTCCAATGGGGACAATATTTCTGGTGACCTTGGGGGTTCCCAAGAGATTCCCTTAATTTGCAGGGATTTCTTCTCACTCCCTGTTTTGGCTATGGGAGAGGAAGTGAAGGTAAATCTCTCCAATGGGGCACAGATGGCAGAAAGAACTGACTGGTTAAAACCTTCCTATAAGCCTTGTACACATAGGCCAAAAATTGACTGGAACCGACTGAGTTTCAGCCTGTGTGTACAACGGTATGTTTTTTACAGAAGCCTGTCTCGCTACCGGCCTCTGTCGAACAGGGATGCTGGAAAACCAACATCTAATCAGTGCTGGCAGCCAATGGCTGCCAGCACTGATCAGTGTGTTCTGGCAGGGAGGCAGTTCCCCTTGTCTGAATACAAAGGTGCAGCGTGGGAGATTGCTGCACTAACGTTGCTTGTGCTAGTACGGTAATCTCTTCTATACTTCTACTTTTAAGGCAATTCCCTATTAGCCTGTATTATCTTCTTCTAGTAATATAGAGGATTTGCTCCTTTAGGGCATCTGCTTTCTATCAAGTCAGGGAGCAGCAGTTGGCTTTCTCTACACTGTCACCTGCTGGGTAAATATTGTATTGTGCCGTGATTATATACAGTTGTGTTCAAAATAATAGCAGTCAGACATCACTAACCTGATCAATCACTGTTTTTGGTAGAAATTATATTTCTACATGGCAAATAATTTACTAGCAGGTGTAGTAGAGTAATAGAAATCCAACAGACCCAACAGTCATGACATGCATGCTGCTGATTCTGTGTAATTGAATCACTAATTGAAAGTGGCATGTTCAAAATTATAGCAGTCTGGAGTTCTATTAGTGAGGTCATTCATTCTTTGAAAAACAGGTGGCAATTATTGCCCTTATTAAGGAAGGAAGGCAGCAAATGTTGTACATGCTGGTTACAGTGCATTTCTCTCTGAAATTCTGAGGAAAATGGGTCGTTCCAGACATTGTTCAGAAGAACAGCGTACCTTGATTAAAAAGTTGATTGTAGAGGGGAAAACATATAAAGAAGTGCAGAAAATGATAGGCTGCTCAGCTAAAATGATTGCAAATGCTTTAAAATGGCAACCAAAATCTGAAAGACGTGAAAGAAAGTGAAAAACTACCATTCGAATGGATAGAAGAATAGCCAAAATGGCAAGGACTCCGCCAACAATCAGCTCCAGGAAGATCAAAGAAGGTCTAAAGTTACATGTGAGTACTGTTACAATTAGAAGACGCCTATGTGAAGCCAAGCTATCTGCAAGAAGCCCCCGCAAAGTCCCACTTTTGAAAAAAAGACGTGCTGAAGAGGTTACAATTTGCCAAAGAGCACATTGACTGGCCTAAAGAGAAATGGCGCAACATTTTGTGGACTGATGAAAGTAAGATTGTTCTTTTTGGATCTAGTGGCTGGAGACAGTTTGTCAGACGACCCCCAAACACTGAATTCAAGCCACAGTACACTGTGAAGACAGTGAAGCATGGTTGCGCAAGCATCATGATATGGGGATGTTTCTCATACTACGGTGTTGTGCCTATTTATCGCATACCAGGGATCATGGATCAGTTTGAATACATCAGAATACTTGAAGAGGTCATGCTGCCTTATGCTGAAGAGGAAATGTCCTTGAAATGGGTGTTCCAACAAGACAACGACCCCAAACACACCAGTAAACGTGCAACATCTTGGTTCCAGACCAACAAGATTGACGTTATGGCGTGGCCAGCCCAATCCCCGGATCTTAATCCAATAGAAAACTTGTGGGGTGACATCAGAAATGCAGTTTCTGAGGCAAAACCAAGAAATAGAGAAGAACTGTGGAATGTAGTCCAATCATCTTGGGCTGGAATACCTGTTCACAGGTGCCAGAAGTTGGTTGACTCCATGCAACACAGATGTACAGCAGTTCTCAGAAACAGTGCTTATACAACTAAATATTAATTAAGTGATTCAAAGGAAAGCAAAATCTTCAAACATTTTTCAGTTTATATAGTGAATGTTTGAGTTTGTAAAGAAGAATACAAACACTGCTATTTTTTTGAACAGTCTAATATTCACTTTTTCTTCAATTTTTTTAGAGGAACAACACAAATTTGATATATTTTTCTTCATGTTTTGATTTGGAATAGAATGTGTAATGTTCCCAATGCATTTGTGTGTATGGAGATAAAAGCTATTAGAAGGATTTTGAGCTTTATTCACTTTTTTTCAACACACTGCTATTATTTTGAACACAACTGTATGTAGATCGATCCTTACTGTATGGTGGAACTTCAGTTTACGGACAACTGTAAACAGGAAAATGAAGGTTCCGCCATTGTATATAGCAGGGCTATGTGTAGTGGGTTCCTCTTTGTTTGGGTTCCCAATGAGCTAAGGCATTTCCACTGGATATGCAAATCCCTCCTGAAAGGTGTGGTTTGTTTTGTTTTGTTTTTTTTGGCTGCTTTTGATCTTTATTAATTTTCTCTGCAGATGTGGTTTTCTTCTTCATCTATTTGTACCAACGCTGGATTTATAGAGTGGATCCCACGCGATTGAATGAGTTTGGGACCAGTGGCGAGACACCTGCTTCTCTACCAGCCCAAGATGGGTCAGCAATCCTTCCCCCCTCTCCTGAAGACACATCTCAACCCAAACCAGCAGAAGACAAAAAGAAAGACTGATTTAATTCTCCTATACCCCCCCCCCCTCCCCTCCATTCCTTACATGAACTGTTCATCCCCCTCTGCGGGGATTAAATCGGCTGCTGTTTTATATATAAACCCCTCTTGTCCCCAACCCTCTTTGTTGAGACGGTGTTTCCCCCGTCATTATGTATATGGGACTGGTGAAGTTTGTCTTTCTCTGCCCACCCTCTTGCTTTCTGTTTTTCTGCCTGTTTCCCTCCTCTCTTGTTCCCTCTTGCTCTCTATGTCCCCACTCCCCTCTGCTTCTTCCTTTTGCACTGCTGTCTCCTCTATAATTTCGTTGTGACGTGTCTATTTCCTGCCTCTCGGTCATGACTCCCCCCCACGGGATCAATGCGCAAATTGAGTTTAATAAATATGGCCGCTCTTTGCAGTTTAGGCAGCACTTGGGAGCATGCAAGCTTGCTTGCACTGCACCAAGGGATCCCACCACTTGCTGTTTACATCCCACGTCTTGGGGTAACAAGTTACACACACACACACACACACACACACAGCCAGAGTCCTGAACATCCCTATAAATTGACTGCACACTTTCTCAAATATGAGTTATCAGGCACTTGAAACACACCTGTTGCCTTTGAAAGAAAAAAAATTGCTCTCTGCGATGTAAGGTATAGTTTTGTTTTTTGTTGAGTCTATTATCCTGACTCATGAATGAGCCTACATTGGCTTTCTGCTCGGACTCTCCAATTTTTCCCTGCCTGACATCACTTAATTTATTCACTGCACTAACAAAATAAAAGAAGAATGTCAAATAGGAGGGATTTAAAACAAAAATGTATACTATATGCCCAAATATGGGACAAACCTACTGTCATAAGTAGTATCTTATCAAATTTTATTTTTTTCTAATTTTCTTCTTTTTTTTTTTTTTGACCAATGTAAAAGAAAAAAAAGTCATATCTTGGATCAAACTGATGAATGAAATATTTAAATTGTAACAGGTCCTTTGTACTAGCAATGTTCTTGCTTTTGAGACTTGGATGTGTTTGCTCTGTTTTATTCATATGTATAACTCAGTAGAGACAGCAGTAAATGGACCAGTCTGAGTCACACTGACCTTTTACAGTGTCTGACCAGAGCCTGTGTGTTACATGTGTTACAGTTTTCATGGCCAACAGTTGGCCATCTTGAAGAAAACTTGGAAGACAACACACCTTTCCCATTGTAATATGCACTGTGTATGTTTTGATTTTTTTTTTTTTTTTTTTTTTTTTTGTACTGAGGTAAAATATATGTTGGATATGAGGGTTGTTTACCAACATTGGAGAAGGGTATCATTTCTTAAAAGAATAGTGACCAACCAGAATCTCATCATTCTTGTCTGTGAACAGTGTGGGTGAATAATCCTCATTTGGGCTTATCTTCTAGTGTAAATAGCAGCAATTCCAGTGATCCCTGGCAACCAAGTGGAAATGAACAGTTGGCAACATATATTTGACAGATCAAAGGGACACAACATTCAAATGATAACATTTGGCATTAAAACAAATACAGGGAATATGGCCTGTTTATCCAATGCTAGTTGTTTTCTCATCCCAGCTTTGCTTGTATATTCCAGGCCACCCATTTTGCAGAATTCTGTGATCATAAGTTTGTGTTGTGAAATTCCTTCTTCTTTAACATGGTTGTAGAGGCTGGAAAGTCGCACTAAAAACCTAGGAGAGGCCTGTATTTTAAAGTAGAATTCTAGTCAAATATGAACTATATGTAAACCTGCTTCCACCCCCATTCTAAGTCTATACTAACTACCCTGTAAAGGAAATATGTCTATACTTGCTGGAAGGCGCTCTGGTCACATGACCTCTTCTTCAGTGGCTGGCTTCAGTGAAGAGGAGAGATCACTGACCATAGCTGCAGAGCGATTAACATCACCCATAGGCTTACTGTGCGGTATCCCTTGTCTGCTGTACCACTTCTACACTGAAGCTTGTGCTATCACGTGACCAGACTGCCCTCAGAATAGGTAAGTATAGACCTCTTTCCCTTACAGGCTAGGGTGGAAGCAGATTTAGGTATAGTTAGTATCTGACTGGAATGCTACTTTAATATGCAAACGCTATACAAGTACACACTCCCTGGAACTAACTTTAACTATTATGCAAGCCACTGCATCTTTAAAAAAAAAAAAAAAAAAAAAAATTCCCACGCCAAATCACCCCCTCCCTCGTAGTCAAAATATAATATGGCATTCTAAGGGCTGGTTTACACTTGCAGCATGAAAAGTGATCTGTGCTCACTTTCAGAGGCGTTTGCTAGGTGGTATAATTCCTGCCGTAAAGCATGTTATCCTGGCCAAGACCTGTGTACATCCCTGCTGCTGCCTTTGCAGTTTAAAATGGAACTACACTGCATCTGCGCACCATAAACCAAAAATGCTATTTAATTTCTAATCAACTCTCCCATCCATCCATGTCTCCATGCTTTATTTTGCTGAATAATCACTTTAAAAAACACCCCTATCTACTTTCTGGCCATGGCCATCTTGAGTAAGGGCAGATGATTCATGTAGCATTTACTTCCTGGAATTCATCTGCCCTTAGCTCAGTCATGCAGGCAGGAGGGTGTGTGCTTAACTGAGAAAACCCCCCTCTTAAACACTCCTGCAAGGTATGATGACATTTGCCTAGGCCTGGAAACAAGAAACTATCTAAAATGAAAAGAAAAAGTAAATACGACATACTGTCTATATTCTTTCTATTCACTAATGCTAGCAGCATGAGGATTAAAAATAGTCAATGTTGATTAGGAGTGTGAAGTTTGGTTTTAAGGGGGAACAGTTGTTAACTGCAAGTGTAAATGAGCCCTATGGGGGAGGCTAATTGCTCAGGCCCTAGGTCCAGTGCCATCATGAATACCTCTTGGTCTGACTGCAAGACATCATGTGAAATTTGTCTCCGATCAATATAAGTTGAATCCACTTTATGTTTGTAGTGTACAGTGACAATGTTTCCGTTGTAGCCTTAGCAGTGCACTGAATGATGATTATTCTATGTGGTTGCTTTTTCATGAAAGATGATTTCTGATTGGTTTTGGTGGTTTACTGGACACTGTTGCTGTTTGCAGTGAATTATACTAGCCCATTTTTGTTCCTACAAGAGCCACATCATCAGGAGAGTGATTGGTTTGTACCACTCACTACTCTTGGTGTTTGCTGGTGTCCCTTTTTGTTTAAGGAAAAAAAAAAAAAATATCCAGCAGTCTTTTAAATCATTGAAGACTATTAACGCAGTTTTAAACAAATGTTTAGTTTGTAAGTAATATTCAGAGTATGACATGAACTTGTGAAACAGAAAGAAAATAAACCAGAGTGAGTTGGGTGGAGATATGTTCATTGTTGCGAATTGTTATTCACTGCGGCTATACAGGTTACAATTTCATTCGGTCCTTTAAAAAATGGGACTACATCCTAAAAATGTTTTGATGTTTGAAAAGAGTGATAGCTCTGTCAGGTTTTTATTGCAATTTATGTTCTCACTGGAGTGATTGCCTGCACCACCTGCCTTGATGGCCAAATCCAGAATTTGGCATGGTCATTGGAACAAAAGGCAATGGGAAATCTCTCCAAAGGGGATGCAGACATTTATAAACACCTGACAAAAGTTCTAAACTTGACTTACTCTATCCCAAATAGATTAGTAACACATAACGATTCTGTTTTTAAGTAGAGCTGTGGCCAGACATACACCCTGTTCTGAATTATTATGCAAATTATATTTTTCTCATTTACCTAATTGATGTAAATAACAGTCAGCATAATTCTCATGTTATCAACTATTAAGAGTACAATTCAAATTTTATTGAACAAACCTCCTAATGATAACAGTATTTTTTTTTAAACATAAAAAAACTTACAATGCAATATTCCAAATGATTACACACAGTAAGTTTCAAAACACTTTATAGGTTGTAAAGAACTGAAAATTATCATTTGTTGTGTTTGCAACATATTTACTAAAATCAAAAGCTATTTCCATCAAACTTTTAACAACATTTTAACTTTTTAAACATTTTAACAGGTCACGTTACATTTTAACATAGGACCCCTTATTTGATAGCAGCTTCACAAGTCTTGCATCCATTGAACTTGTGAGTTTTTGGGACAGTTTCTGCTTGAATTTGTTTGCAATATGTCAGAATAGCCTCCCAGAGCTGCTGTTTGGATGTAAACTGCCTCCCACCCTCATAGATCTTTTGCTTGAGGATGCTCCAAAGGTTCTCAATAGGATTGAGGTCAGGGGAGGATGGAGGCCACACCATGACTTTCTCTCCTTTTATCCCCATAGCAGCCATTGATGCAGAGGTATTCTTTGCAGCATGAGATGCATGGTGCATTGTCATGCATGAAGATGATTTTATTACAAAAAGCATAGTTCTTCCTTCTGTACCAGGGAAGAAAGTGGTCAGTCATAAACTCCACATACTTTGTAGAGGTCATCTTTACACCTTCGGGGACCCTAAAGGGGCCAACCAGCTGATTTCCCATGATTTCGGCCCAAAACATGACTCCACCACCGCCTTGCTGATGTCGCAGCCTTGTTGGAACAGGGTGGCTGTCCACCAACTATCCACTACTCCATCCATCTGGACCATCCAGGGTTGCACTGCACTCATCAGTGAACAGGACTGTTTGAAAATTAGTCTTCATGTATTTTTCTGCCCAATGCAGTCGTTTCTGCTTGTGAGCATTGGTTAGTGGTGGCCGAATAGAAGGTTTATGCACAGTTGCAAGACTCTGGAGGACTCTACACCTTGATGTCCGTGGGACTCCAGAGGCACCAGCAGCTTCAAATATCTGTTTACTGCTATGTAATGGTATTTTAGCAGCTGTTCTCTTGATCCGATGCATGGATCTGGCAGAAATCTTCCTCAATGTGCCTTTATCTGCACGAATCCGTCTGTGCTCTGAATCAGCAACAAATCTCTTAATAGTGCGATGATCACGCTTAAGTTTTCGTGAAATATCTAATGTT